TATCTTAAAAAAAAAAAAAAAAAAAAAACTATTATTTTATGTGTATGAGTGTTTTGCCCGCATGTATTTCTGTCTCGTGTGTGTGCATGGTGCCTGTGGAGACCAGAAGAGGGCGTCAGATCCCCCGGAAGTAGAGTTACAGACAGTTGTGAGCCACCACGTGGGTGCTGGGAACCGAACGTGGGTCCTCTGCTAGAGCAGCCGGTGCTCTTACCCGCTGAGCCCTCTCTCCGGCCCCACATGTTCACACCCTAAACCTTCTTTCGCCTTGGTGTGTCATATTTTGTTCATACAATCTCCTGCAGTTGTGAAGATAATGGCTGTAATCAGAAATTCAACACGAAATCGAACTTGAAGAAGCACATTGAACGCAAACATGAAAATCCACAGAAACAGTATATAGTGAGTATGGCCTCATAGGTTTCAACTTCAACTATTTTTACATTTGCTACCAAAGTGAGTTTGCGTCAACCCCATTTTCTCTTGCTGAGATGTAAAGTCCGGCACTGGCTGTCCTCATCCTGCAAGCTTTCATGTTGAAAACTCCCTTGGGGCACATCTGTGTCACTGCCGACTACCCCGGCTTCCACCCCAGCAGGAGCATGCTTTTCTGACTGCCACTGCTCTTAGTTTTTGAGATGAAGCGTTTCACAGGGACTAAGAGGGTGAAAGTTTATGTTCCCCGAGGCACTTAGGTCCTGAGAAACCGTTGTTTAATTTGAAAAAGGTTCATATTCATTTTATGTGCAGGTGTGTTGCCTGCGTGTGTACCTGCACACCACATGCATGTGGGTGCCTGTGGGGGTCAGAGGGGTGTCGGTTCCTCCGGAACTGCAGTCCGATGGTTGAGAAGCACCAGGTGGATGTGGAATCCGCACCCGGCTCCTCCGAGAGAGAAGCAAGTGTTCTTACCTGAGCCGCCTGCAGCTCTGAGAGGACGCCAGCATCTGTCGAGTCTCTGCCTTTACTAAACGGGGCATTTCTTTCTTCACAGTGCAGTTTTGAAGGCTGCACGAAGGCCTTTAAGAAGCACCAGCAGCTGAAGACGCATCAGGGCCAGCACACCGGCGAGCTGCTCTTCAGGTCGGTGCTTGGCCGCCACTGAGTTCAGATCGAAGGGTCCCGCGCCAGGCTGGCCTGTGCGCCCATGGAGACTCAGCACTTAGATTTGTTTCCGTTTCCCTAACAACCAATTTTCACGTGTGGGGAACAGCTTTTGAGAGCCGGGCAGCTGTGGTTAAGCTTGAAGGGAAGGTGAGGAACTGCCTCATGAGGACTTTTTCTACAGAACAGAAGTAACTGGGCTCCGCCTGCACTGGGCCTTTCCTGGGTACTCAGGACACATGGGGGCGGTGGTCGGGTGTGGTGTCTCCCTGCACCTGGGGCCGCCCTTTGCCCAGGCGCTGCTGCAGTGACAGGGTGGTCTCAGCCACAGGCTTGTGGTTGCACTGGTGTGCGGTCTGCACTGGTGCTGAGGATGCAGCGCACTGCCCTTTCCCCAGGCACCTGAAGCCCTCGCCTGCTCCTCCCTCCCCCTTGGCTTCTGTTGTCTCGTTTCTTTTCTTTCTTTCTTTCTTTTTTTTTTTTTTTGGTATTTTTGTTTTTCGAGACAGGGTTTCTCTGTGTAGCTTTGCGCCTTTCCTGGAACTCACTCTGTAGACCAGGCTGGCCTCGAACTCACAGAGATCCGCCTGCCTCTGCCTCCCGAGTGCTGGGATTAAAGGCGTGCGCCACCGCCGCCCAGCTCTGACACCTTTCTCTTTGTTGTTGGTGTTTTTCTGGTGCTGGGCCCCCCTGAGCTGCACCCCAGCCCGTGCTGTGTTCCCATCTGACAGTGTAGCACACTGGTCATACCACAGACCAACAGCTCAGGATGGTCCAGTGTCACCAAGTCAGCCAGCCTCCTGACGTGGTTTCTGTAGCCACAAAACGGTATTTTCAGAACTATGAGAACTTTTAATTTGATGACTTAAACAAAAGATGTGTGACTTTTTCTCGAAAAGCTTGCTCCAAAGCTGGCCAGGTCACTGGTGTTTGTATTTAGGGCTCCCCTGAATGTTTTGGTGACAGGTTCGGTGTGGGATCGATGGGCTGCGGTGAGGGCATCTCAGCCAAGTTCTCCACCGGAAGGGACCAGCTAATGCTTCACGTGCTGCTTTCCCAGGTGCACCCAGGAGGGATGTGGGAAGCACTTCGCCTCACCCAGCAGGCTGAAACGGCACGGGAAGGTTCACGAGGGTACGTACAGATGGTCACCGTGCAGCCCTGAGGACACCGGCAGCAGCCTGTGCTTGCCACTCGGGCTGCTTGGCATCCTTGGTCTGCCCAGCGGTCACACCGAGCACCGAGAGCTGTGTGGCAAACAAAGGACACTGTTGTGTGGTTTGGGTCTTGGCCTCTTGTTGAGTTTATTAGTAACTCCCTTTGTAGACCGCTGTGCGTCTCCTTTTCTGGTTAGCTAGCTACTCTAAAGTGTGCAAAGGTTTAGCTAGTTGGAGTTCATTGCATGCCGCAGAGCGGCACATTTTTGAGAGGAGGAAAACTAGAGGGCATGCAGTTCCTTCCTGGCCGTCTTCAGGGTTCGCGCTGGGTGTTCAGAGCAGGCAGTGGGTAACTCTTTGGTGTTTTTAACAGGCTATCTGTGTCAAAAGGGATGTTCTTTTGTGGCAAAAACGTGGACAGAGCTTTTGAAGCACATGAGAGAAGCCCATAAAGGTAGGTGGACATGGAGCTGAGGAAGAGCCCTGGCCCTGGGGAGCCGATGGCATGATTTGAAAGAGTGAAATGGATACGTGTGCTGTAAGGGAGGCATCCTGCATCACCCGTGTGTAGGGCTGGCGTGTGCCGTAAGGGAGGCGTCCTGCATCACCCGTGTGTAGTGCTGGCTTCCTGGGCCGCGGTGAGGGGCCGCTGTGGGTCTCTGAGCTGCTGCGGCCATGCACTCCGCTTTCCTGGGGCTCTGCATCTCTGCAGGGCTTCTTGGGAACTGCTGCTGTGCGTCAGGACGGAGGCGGACGCCGTGACATTAATTCCGCCTGCCTAGTCACCTAGTTGAGAGCCAGGGGAGAACTTGGGGTTCGGGGCCAGTGAGGTGAGGGGTTGGCGTTTCCCCGAAACCCCTGGTTTGTGTGAGGTCACAGGACTGGCCGTTGTGTGGTGACAGACAGGGAAGGTGGTTAATGAGTGTCTCCCCGCCAGAGGAGGTCACCTGCGCAGTGTGCCAGAAGACTCTCAAGCGCAAAGACTACCTTAAGCAGCACATGAAGACGCATGCCCCGGAGAGGGACGTGTACCGCTGTGTGCGCGAAGGCTGTGGGAGAACCTACACAACCGTGTTCAACCTGCAGAGCCACATTCTCTCCTTCCACGAGGAGGCGCGCCCCTTCGTGTGTGAGCACGCGGGCTGTGGCAGGACGTTCGCGATGAAAGTGAGTGTCCTGCCCCCGGCTGGGGTCTCCCCGTGCAGCCCCAGGTTTGAGAGCCAGTTCTCAGGGAGAATGCAGGACACTTGAGAAATGCAGAGTCCCGGGTGCCCATTCTGACCCAGCTGGGCCGGAAGCCCTGGGGTTGGGAAGCGGACGGCTTCTTTTGACCAGTGCTCTAGACTAGTGCTTCTCAACCTTCCTAACACTGCCACCCATTCATACCGTTCCTCGTGGGTCCTGACCCACAGGTTGAGAGGCACTGCTCTAGGGCATTCTGGCTGTGCTGAGTGGGGGAGCCAGTCCTTTATCTTAGAGAGCCAATACTCTGGGCTTGTAGACCATCATGTAGGGCCTGAGAAAAGAGGTGGGGAACACAGATGGGCAGCCTGGGGGCTGTGGGATCTTGGCTTGATTTTGGCCTGATTCAAGGGTCAGGTGGGAACATGGTTCCTGGCGGGGGACTGTGCAGTTTGCTTCAGCCTAGCTGGTGTCTTCAGGGCTCTTACTGTGGATTTTCAACTCGCCAAGCATAGCTCGGATCAGTCCCCACAACAGGTGCTGTGGTGACCACTGTCGCCAGCCAGCAGGGCAGAGGCCACACTTCCATCTGGTGTTTAGGGATGCAGCTGAGAGATTCAGCTAAGCAAGCATGAGCTTGCAAGTTCAATCCCAGCTTTCCCTTCTCGGGAAAGGTCTAAGTCAGTAGATTGGGTTGGAGTCAGTGCCCAGCATGCTCCTTGGAAGACTGTGAAAGTCACTGCTAAGGAGTTGAAGTCTCCCCTAGGCTCTGGGCAGGGAGTCGGGTGGAAGTCAAATTCACGCCACAGAAAGGCAGCTGTAGTTTATTGCACCATCTCACGACATTTTCATGTTAGCAGACACCAAGAGCTTGTGATTGTTTTAAAAGATTAGTTAGTGGAACCAGCATGGAGGTGGTTGTGAGCCGTCATGTAGTTTGTGGGCACTGACCCCGGGGCCTCTTCGAGAGTGGCACGTGCTCTAACCACTGAGCCCCCTCCAGCCCTGAACCAAGGGTTTCTGAAGCAGGCTTCTTTTTCCTGCACTGCAGCAGAGCCTCATGAGGCACAGCGTCGTGCATGATCCCGACAAGAAGGGGATGAAGGCCAAAGTAAGTGGGGCTGCTTGCCCCTGGCCCCCCCCGGCCCCCCCCTCTGCCTGTCCCCTCCCCCCCCCCGCCTGTCCCCCCCCCCCACCGCCCTCCTGGGTATGTCCGCCTGTTGAAGGTGCGACTCCATCAAGGACTGTCACTGTCGGGGTGTCGTTGTGATGCAGGTAGTTCTGATGGGGATGGGGATGTCTCTTTCTTTACTCCCAAAGGTAAAACTGCCTCGAGCAAGACGGAGCTTGGCCTCTCGCCTCAGTGGGTACTTCCCTCCTAAAAGGAAACAAGAGCCAGACTCCTCCATGCCCACAAGTGCAGAGTCCAGCAGCAGCCCGCAAGGCAAGACGCTCCCGCCAGCTGCATCCCTTACCCTCCACTAGGCACCCTGGCCGCGTGAGCGACTCCAGGGCAGCCAGCAGGGCTTCTGCAGAGCCTGGGTTTGTTTATTAAAATCACTGACACAGAACGTCTGACTCCGTGGTCCTGTGGTCTGTGTTCAAAGTGTCCCTTCTCTCGGCCTCTTGAGAGTCTCTGTACGCCTTCTCTTCTTTCCTGCTCAAGGGGCGGAAAACACATGTGGAGGCGGTTCCTCCCCTGACGGCTTTCGGTCTGCTTGAGAAGGTTGCTAGTCCAGGCATAGTCTGGAGGATCTGGTTCAGTATCTCATCCTACAAAGGACAGCAGTGCAAGATTAGTTTAAACCTAGTGTCTCTGATGCTGTGGTGAGACTGAGCGTGAGCCCTGGAGCTGCTGTGACAGGCTGGTCAGGGTCTGCACAGGAACTCCATGTGCCAACTACCACTGGCGCCTGCAGCCCCTGCTCGGCTCTGTCACAGCCCCAGGGGCTACAGCTAGGCACCTGTGCTCTCCCAAAGTCAAGCACTGGGGTTGGGTCTTGGCAGAGTGCCTTCCTAATTCGGGAGGGAAGGAGGGAGGGAGGAAGGGAGGGAGGTTCCACCTGGACTCCACAAAGTCTGAAGCAGGTGAGTTGTACCCTGCGAGTATGATGCAGGCAGCCTGGGTTGAAATCCCACTGTACTGTGCAGCCTTTGGTGGTGGTAAAGTGAGCTCGGCTTAAAGGCCACGCAGCATGGACACTCCAGGGATGCTAAGAATGGAGTTCTCTAGAGAACAGGTGAATGGAAGAGTCTCCTGTGAATCATCTACTTTTTATATTTTAAATGTTAGCTCTTTGGCAGTTTTTAAAAGACAATATAGCTTTTATATTACAATTAAAAAAAATGAGTATGGTGTTCTGCCTGCATGTATGTTTGTATGTGCACCATGTGTATGTGGTACCCACAGAGGCCAGAAGAGGGCATCAGAGTCCCTGGAACGGGAGTTACAGACTTGTGAACTGCCATGTGGATGCTGGGGACAGAATGTGGGTCCTTGGTAAGAGCAGTGGGTGCTCTTGACTACAGAGCCATTTCTCTGGTCCCCAGAACAGTTTCCAGGGGACAAGTTTGCTATGACGGAAAACACAGTAAGTGTACAGTTGGACACTAGGAAGCTGGCACCACACAGGGCGGTAGAATCACTAGTCAGTTTCTTTGCTTGTCAAGGTCTTCCCAGTTCTATAACTTTTTGCATCAGACAAGCAGGGCCCAGCAGGTGCTCACACCTCCTCACCGTCTCGTTCTCTGGCTGGTCAGCACTTTTCTTCTTCTTTACTGTGACTTGAACGTGGTATCTTTTCTCAATCCACTGCTGAATCTGTTTGCTCTTTGTGTCCAGATCATGCTGTCCAATATTTGAAGAAAAAACGAGTTCCTTTACCACAGCTGGTCCTGGTGGAAACAGTGAAGTTTATTGCTGGGTCTGTTCACTGCTCTGACCTCAGCTTCCGCCCACGGGTGACTCTGACAGCCTTCATCTCACTCCAGCCTCGTGACCACCAGCCGCTTTTTAGTGGGGCAGACAGGCATAAAGGTGTGTGTTTTTCATGTGCTAAATAATAATAGTTCATACCTGCTAAGGTGTGTGTGTGTGTGTGTGGTTGGGACAACCTCACCACCTTGAGAAGAGGTCTCGATTTCACACTACACCAGGGGCACTGGCCTGTGACCTTCCAGGACTCTCCTGTCTCCTGCTCCCATCTCCCCAGGGGGCAGGCTTGGAGTGCACACACTGGTGCTGCTGAGACTTTCAAACTCACACTTGTGCACAAGCACTCTGACCCAGTGACCCCTCCCTCCCCCACGCCCTGTGTTAGACTGAGCTATGAATCTGGAGGAAGATCATCCGAGAGAAACATGGGCGCAGTAGGTAACTCAGAGATGCGCCTCAGACAGCAGAAGGGCAACCTTAGGACGTGCAGTGGCTCCTCACTGTCACTGCGCTGACCATCAGTGTGACAGTACCGGGAACAGAGGAGCCGCATCTGGTGCTGCCATGGCAGCCTGGCCCATTCAGGTTCACAGAACCCAGAGTACACATGAGCATTCCTAAGACTGAAGAACTGGGAAGAGGCCAGGTGCCATGGGAATGGATTAACCAATCAGATCAGTTCCTAATAGCTTACCCACAGCTATCCTGTGAACATGGGCTGTGCACTTAAAAAAGAAAAGATTTATTTATTTATTACATGTAGTGTTCTGCATGTATCCCTGCAGGCCAGAAGAGGGCGCCAGATCTCATTACAGATGGTTGTGAGCCACCATGTGGGTGCTGGGAACTGAACTCAGATCCTCTGGAAGAGCAGCTCTAATCTCCGAACCATCTCTCCAGCCCCTGGGATATGCCATTTTAAAAAACATAATTTGCATACTGTTTCTGAACATCTGTCATATTAACATTGGCTAAAGTCCATGAGAGCACACAGGGACATCTCTTTGGAGGGTAGAAGAGGCTTCAACTTTTCAGTAATGTTTAAAATCTGAATCACAGCCAGATTCACTGATTTTGGATGATAGACAATTATTATCTTTTCTTTTTTCTCTCTCTCTTTCTTTTTTTCCTTTCTGTCTGTCTTTTTTTTTTTTCCTCAAGACAGGATTTCTGTGTGTAACATCCCTAGGCCTCGTAGCCCTCAATTTGTGGACCAAACTGGCCTCTGCCTCCTGAGTGCTGGGATTAAAGGCATGTGCCACCACACCTGGCTTTATTACCTTTTCTTATAGGCCTTTAAAGTTTCTAGCACCCCCTTGTTTCCCACCAGTTGGCTCTGGGTCTCCATCAGAGTGAGGTGAAGCCCGACTCTCCAGGCTCTGCAGTCTCTCCCCATGTTCTGACTGGGACATGGGCTGACATGCTGACTCCTGACCCCTGGTTAGCTTCCTATGAAGGTCTCTTTTCATGTTAGCGTCCCTGGGGTGTTAGAAAGCAGCTTTTCTTTCCTCACGGCGCTCGGCCTCCTACAGTGGGGCCAGCCCCCAATCCTCGTCACGGCATGAAGCCCACGGAGCAGCCAGTCTTCCATACCTGGAAGCCGGAAAAGTCAGCTAATCCTCACTTAATGCCCAGTGCCTGGCCTCCGGGTGGCTTCCGTGACCGGTGCCTGGAGGCAATGGCCATGTGCACAGGCCAGGGCTACTGTGAACCCTTTCAGGATTTACAAAGTGCTTAAAAAGCAAATGACAGGAAGGAGGCTGGACGTGGAGAGCATCTCTTTCAAGTGCGGCTTCGATGCCCCGGTGGCCACACGGCTCGCCAGTGCATCTGCAGCCCAGGCTACAAGATGAAGGCGACTTCTGTCACTTTGGTCTGCGTACCTTGTTTCTCCCCGCACTTGACAGGTTTAAAAGAAGAGGGGATGGACATGGGACATCAAAAACGAGGGGGAGGGAACGGGAATGGGGTGAAGGAGGAGCCAGCCTCCCTGCAATGACGGCGAGACCAGCCATATAAGAGTTGAGGGCTGCTGTGTTGTTCTGAAGCAGTGGTCCTCACCCTTCCTGACGCTGTGCCCTTTAATACAGTTCCTCATGTTGTGGGGACCCCGACCGTAACATTACCTCATTGCCACTTCACAACTGTGATCTTACTGTCTTGAACTGCAATGTAACTCTGATATGGAACCCCTGTGGAAAGGGGGTCTCGACCTACAGGTTGAGAACCACTGTTCTGATGTAGTCAAGGCACAAACATCAAACACCTACCAGTTTTGGGGCTGGCCTTTTCGTCTTCCCGCAGCCTTAGCCGCTCCTGGTGGATCTGTGCTCCGGTCATGAGCTGGTACTCCGGTGGCTCTGAGTTGGTGTTCTTCTTCACCAGCCTCAAGTCCTGCTGGTCCATGAGTCTGATTACATCCGCTCGGTGCATCACCCCCAGGTCGCTGCCTTTCTCATCTAGGACGCGGATAACCCGCTCACTAATCTTCCTGCCAGTGTTAGTGAAAGCGTCTTTCCTCTTCTGTTTCTTCTGCCCGTGGCCGTCTTCAGCAGTACTAAAGCCTTCTGTAGAAACCAGGTACCAGAGCTTCGGGGTGGAGGCGGTCAGGGGCAGCTGTGCCGGGGCTGGCTTCATGATGTGTTTTCTGAAACATCTTCCAACTGAGGTTTGTAGCATCAGCCTGTTCAGAAGAACAGCCATCCTGAAAAAGAAACAGGGAATGGGTATCACAACTCAATCACTGATGCCATGGTCTGCTAGTATGGTTCAGTGTGGCACAGGGGAGGCTGTGCAGCCTCATGGCACACAGACCACCAGATCCACGTGTAGGAAGGCAACACCAACACATGGACTGTTGGCTGGTGCTGCCCCTGGTGCAGCCGGAGACCAGACTGAGCAGCATGCCATGGTTCTTTGATCTCTACTCTTCTCCCTTACTCATAACTGTTTTTCCTAGATCCTATAGTGCCAGCTCCAAAGTGACGCTATCTAAGGGTTTGTCTGTGAGAACGAGGTAGAAATGCCACTTCAGGGGCTGCAGAGTTGTCTCTGATGTTAACGGTCCTCTGCTCTCCCAGAGGACCTGGGCTAGATTCCCAGCACCCACATGGCGTCCAGATGTTCAACTGTAACTCTAGTTCCGGGGATCTGACACCCTCTCCTGGCCTCTGAGCGGACTGCACACGTGTAGTGCACAACCATACATGCAGGCAAGCACTTGTAAAATAGAAGAAATGCAAAAAATTGTAACAGCACTTCAATTTTTAAAAACATTCTTCTTTACCACAATCAAACAATGAAAAGTGCTGCTCTCACTTCTCATGGTAACTTCTTGCACACGCCTTTAATCCCTGCAACTTGGGAGGCAGAGGCAAGTAGATCTCTGAGTTCCAGGCCAGCCTGGTCTACACAGTAAGACCCTGTCTCAGGAAAAAAAGTCATAAATTCATAATTATTATTATTCAGAATCTTTATAGGTGCCTGGGAATCTGGCTCAGTAGTAGAGCATTTGCCTAAAATGTGCAAGGCCTTGGTTTAATCCTCAGCACGGAGACACAGGAGCAACAATCCTGGGAAATGTGTGTGGAGAAACAATGTAAATGAGCAGCACCTGCTGAAACCGGTTCCACCCTCCACCCACAACCGGCGAGGATCTGCTACAAAGTGGCCAGTGGGCCATCAGCAAACACTGCCATGCAGCTCTTGGGTCTTTTTAATGATCACAGTCTGGTCCTGACAGGCACTCGATTTCCAGATTTCCCTGAACACATTATCATTTTGTTTGGTGGTGACGTTTCATTTACAGTTTGGCATCATGAAGGAGCTCCCTCTAGCCAGTTATATAATTTAAACATTAAGGAAAATGGCTGTAATTCCTTTCGACACTGAAAACGCAAACATCTATGAGGCTGCTAATCGCCACTGTGTGTCACTGTCACACCCCAGCTCCACTGGAAGCGGGTAAATTGGTAAGGAAACTGAAAGAGCTGAGCATTTATTGTCTTTTTAGGAAAAACTGTGCCTGTCTATGTTGATGAGGAAAAGCTCTCTCCCAAGTATGGAGCTAATATAATACTAAAATCATCATCATCATCATCACCACCATTTTGCCACCAATGAAAATGGCACATTTAAGCAACAAACACCTTCAGGTACAAGGATGATGCCAGGCGGTCACACACACCGGATTAAATATGTAAAAGTACTCTGCTGAGGAAGAAGCTGACTGTCACCTTCATGACCAAGGGTCAGAGTGGCATCCCCACCAGAGGACAACTGCACACCCCAGGCACGTCTCCTGATGAGCTACAGCAGACACCCAGTGCTTCCCACCACAGCCTTGTCCCGAGGTCATCCAAAGCTGGCCTACCTCTCCACAGCGCTTCAAGCACAAGGCCAGGTCCAGGGAGGAGTGACCTGGAAAACACCACAGGGAAGTGAAATCACAAATCCAGAGACAAGGCTTGGTGAGGATGGAAAGCTAATTTTGAATAAAAAGATAAGGGAATTACAAAAGGAAATGTGTTTGAGAAAAATCCTCCGAAAAGACGAACTGGGGAAATAGAAATGCAGATTAGGTATTTGGAACTATCAAAAAGTACCACTGATATTCTCAGTGTGAAAATCAAATTCCCAGGAAAGAAACACTGATGTATTTAGGATCACGATTGGAAATGGTGCAGCAGGAAATAGGAGTTAGACGACGCTATTATGGCAACATTTACTGACTCTGGCTACATGGCTGCTAGTTCTTCATCTCCCATTCTTTGGTTTAAATTACTTTTGTAATTAAAGTTTAAAGAAAACAAACAAGAATTGATGGCCTAAAAGAAATGGGCATGTCAGTACACTAATCCAGCCTGCAGATCATGTTCATCTTACTGAAACAGACAGCTGGCTTTGTGTGCTGTCCTGGTTAGATCTTTGGGGATTTTTGTTTTTTTATTTTTATCTATCTATCTATCTATCTATCTATCTATCTATCTATCTATCTATCTATTTATTTATTTTTTGAGACAGGGTCTCTCTGTGTAACTGCTCTGGCTTTCCTGGAACTAGGTTTGTAGACTATGCTGGCCTCGAACTTACAGAGACCCCCCTGCCTCTGCCTCCCGAATGCTGGGATTAAAGGCGTGTGCCACCACTGCCGAGAAATCCTGGTTAGTCCTTTGTCCACCTGAGTCATCTTTGTCTTGATGACCTTTGTCCCAGAGTCATCTGGGAAGAGGGAACCTCAGTTGAGTAAATTCCTCCTTCAGGTTGGCCTGTGGGGACATTTTTCTTGATTGATGATTAATGTAGGAGGGTCCGGTCCTGGGCCTGTAAAAGGCAGGCTGAAAACAAAATGAGGAGCCAGCCAGTGAGACTGTTCCTCTGTGGTGTTACTTGTTTCTGCCCCCGGGTTCTTGCCCTAACTTCCCTCAATGATGGACTATATGATCAGGACCTGCAAGCCAAACAAACCCTTTCTTCCCAAGTCTTTGCTTTTTGGTTATGATGTAACTGTCCGATGTGCCTGGGCACCCTCGCCCCGGTGCCGGTACAGAGGTCAAAGGACAACCTTCCGGAATTAGTTCTCTCCCTCCACTTTTAGGTAGGTTCCAGACACTGAATTCCGTTTTTCTCTGCTTTGGCTACTGAGCCATCTCTTCAACCTGATGGTACTGATTTTTATTTATGCATTTTTGGAGACAGGATCTCACTGTGTAGACCAGGCTGGCCTCCAATTCACAAGAGATCAGCCTGCCTCTGCCTCTCGAGTGAGGGCTAGGACTGAAGCCGTGCACCACCACACCTGCCCTGACGCGAATCTGTTACACTCCGTAGTCACGAGCTTACCGACACCTATCCACTCCAGAAGGAACAGGTTCGAGTAGATTCGTGAACTCAACTCTGGCGTCCTGCTCTAGCTGTGAATTTTCTCACCCTCACTTCCAGGAGGAGTTTCAAAAGTCCTGGCAGGGTGACGCACGCCTTTAGTCCCAGCACTTTGGAAACTGAGGCAGGTGGATCTCTATAAATTCGAGGTCAGCTTGGTTTACAAAGTGAATCCCAGGACAGCCAGGGCTTACGGAGGGAGGCCCTGTTTCAATAACACAACAAAACAAAAAAACAAAACAAAACAAAACAGAAAAGCTTCACAGGGCGTCTCTAAGGGTCGGCAGCGGGAACGCCCACCCGAGGGACACGCCCACCCGGAAGCCAGAAACACACTAGCCCCGCCCCGCCCCCACGAGCCCCAGGCCCCGGGCACGCGCGCGTGCGCACGTCGCGGCGAAAATGGCCGGGATCGCGGGTCGGTGGCTCCGGAGCGCGGCAGCTGGGTTGACCCCGAAGCCTGGGGCCACCGTGCCCCGTCCGCCTGGGGCGCTCTGCATACACTGTCCCCAGGACACGTCCTCCCGCCTCAACCCCGCGCCGCCGAGCCCCCGCCTTAGCCCTACCTGGGCCTGGGACGGCGAGCGGGAAGAACCAGCAGATCGGTACACGGGCTCCGCGGATTGACCGCGTCGGCTTCCGTCGCGGGCGGAACTTCCCGAGTCCTTAAAGGGAAGGTCCACTAATAGAATAAAGTCCTCCGGAAAGAAAAAAAAAAAAAAAAGGTACAGAAGTTCTGAGGAAGAAACCGAGGAAATTGCTGCGTACTCACCTTCTGCTGCTCCTGAGAACGTTAAAATGTGCAGTCCCCAGAGCAGTCAGTGCATCGCGTTCGCCAGTTACATTAATACCAACTTAATAAAGTGTTAAATGCCTGGTACAATGTTCCAGAAACATCTGGACCAGCACTCTGCGGTATGGAACACTGCCATCTGCATACGAGCAGATCAGGCTCGTGAAAGCTCTGGGTAGCAAGGTATAAACCCCTAAGACCACTCTCTGCCGACGAAAAGTGATGGATGCAGGCTCAAGCGCTGTCAGAACCGGGGGAAGTCAGCGCCCGTCCCCAGGCGGATGAGTCAGGAGGAGGGCAGCCTGAAGCTTCACGCCCCTCTGTGTCACACCTGCTGGCTCCTGGGGCTGGCACCCGCGCCACCAGGCCGCTAACTGCCCCCTGCTTTGGCGTCAAGTTCTTCACCAGGGGATTCCTTAGCGGGGGTACCTACCTTCCTTTTATGTAGGGAAGCCATAGTATTTGTAGGCTGTATGTTAAACAAGGCAAGACCACGTTGTCTTACTTAATTCTCACCAAATAACTCAACCAGGGTAATACCTGATTATAGCTATTACTCTTGCATCAGGAAACTAGGGAAGCCTTAAATAGCTTCTTGAGAGCCACATCTAAGTCTTCCTTTTCTCGTCAGATCACAGCCTCTGGCACATGAGCCTTGTATCTGGCCAGGGCTGGGGCCTGCATGTCAGCCATTTCCAAGTGAAATGAAGAATTAGAGGCCCTTTTTATCCTGCCAGAATTAGTCCTCATCGGGAAGATGGAAGAATAGCTGTGGGGATAAAGTATGGAGCCCACCCTCTGGGTAGCTGGGTCCACACCGGCTGTAAGTGCCCACGTTTGTGGTAACATTTATAGACGTACCATACTTCTAAACACATATCGTGTATCAATTTAGTTTAATCCTCAAGACACCCTCATGAGAACCGCTGTCATTACCCATTTCATAGATGAGCGGACTGAAACATGAAGATGTTATGTAACTTGTCCCAACATCACATAATCAGCAGAGTCAAGCATGTAAAAAAAGAAGGCTGGGAAGCTCAGTGGTTAAGAGGGTATTCCTCTTGCAGAGGGACTGGGTTCTGTCCCCAGCACCCACAACTCCAGTAACTCCAGTTCCTAGGACGCCAGTGCCTTGTTATTACCTTGGAGGCACCTGCATGCATGTGGTGTACATGCAAATGTGCAGGCACACACACATACACACACATAAGCATAAATAGAAATAACTTTAAAAAGATTTTAAAAGAACAAAAAAGAAAGAGTGAAGGGCATTGGGGAAATAGTTCAGTGACAAGTCTGTCTCTTATAATAATGCTGTCTCTCGTTTCTCTCTCATAAGAATGCTGTCTCGTGGCTCCACAAAAAGTCCTGTCAGGATGTAATTTAAACTAAGAGGGCAGGTCTGTAAATTCTCAATATTTTTTTCCAAATTTCACTTTTATTAAAAAGGTCACGCTGGGCAGTGGTGGCGCACACCTTTAATCCCAGCATTCAGGAGGCAGAGGCAGGACGATCTTTTGTGAGTTTGAGGCCAGCCTCCTCGATAGAGCGAGTTCCAGGACAGCCAGGGCTACATAGAGAGACCCTGTCTTGGGGGTGGGGGGTGGGGAAGGTCTCCATGAAAACTCTTTCAAAATCTCTGTCTCGAATTAATTTCAGAACAAGTGGTCCTTATACACCAAAGAGAAGGACACTGATGTCCATGGCAAGCCTGCCAAGGAGTCCAACCTCCCAGAGGAGCTGCCAGGCCCCCCAGGGTAGCCAGGACACCCGTGAGGGCACCCTGGGAGAAGCCAATGAAGAAAGGGTCCGCACACACCGGTGTACCCTCCCTCTTACTTGGTGTCTGGGGGCGGTAACAGTTTTAAAAAACCAACCACATACTAGTAAAATTCTTGGGTTTCTTTTGAAATTGTATAGATGCTGTCAAGCCAGCGTGGGTCCATGGCAGTGCCTCTGTCAATACAGAGTGGGTTTAATGCCTGAGAAGACACACCCTCACCTTCTGCCTACCAATATGGCGATAGGGATGTAGGAGACAAGGTGTGCTGGGGTGGGGTGGGCTTTGGCCGAGTGTTAGGAAAAGCGTTCAAGATGTCCTGAAGACAGCCAGCCCCATACAATGAGACCACTATCGTGAACCCATCAGTCTAGCATCATAAACTGTCACGCTAGGTCATCATGTCAGCCATTTACTCTTAGGCGGGACCATAGCTCACCCACTCGAACCTGTGAACACCCATATGTTGAATAACAAAACAAAACGAAAACATCAGTAGTTTAGCTGCGCTTTCAACCTGTATTGGACTTGAGAATCACCCTTCGTAGGACTTACATTTATTACGTGGCTGCTTAGGCAGGTCCCCCAGGAGACCTGGAGAGCATCTGGCAGCCACATCTGTGTTGCAGCCCTTCATATTCCCTAAGACTGGAGTTAGATCCATGATACATTTCTTCATCATGTAGGAAGTCCCTCACACTCCAGATCAAGTATTTCTTTGGTCAAAAACTGATGACGCTAATTATTAAAACACACCCATAACTGTAAATGAGCCCAGTAAGCATGTCGGAGTCTACACATCATGATGAATGTTTCAAAAGCTTTCATGTGTGTTAAAGGCAATGTTTACAAATGGAGACGCATTTCTCTTCCATGTATAGTCTTTTTGCCCAGCTGAATGAAGCAGAAATGGGTTCAAATGTCTCCTTTGGAAAAGCAAGATGGTGGTTTTTGGAGTGATTTAGCTAACTTTCATCATTGATGTGTGTGTGTGTGTGTGTGTGTGTGTGTGCGTGTGCGTGCGCGCACGCACGCACACACACACAAATATGTAGGACCAGTGGACCAGAAATCAGTGTTGGCTGTTGTTCCTCAGGCACTATTCTTTTGACAAATTTGACCGTCTCTCATGGACCTGGACCTCTCCCACTAGGCTAGGCTGGCTGGGCAGGAGGCCCAAGGATCTTCCTGTCGCTGCCTCCTCAGCCCCAGGATTGCCAGTGTGCACCACCACACCCAGCTCTTTATATGGGCGCTGGGAATTGAACTCAGGTCCTCACACTGGCAAGCACTTTATCAACTGAGCTATGTCCTTAGACCCGACTGCCTTCATTTTTGAAACTGGTAAAGTAATTCCCACTGCTCACATATCATGTCATACTGAAGGACGAAGACGATGAAAACTTACAAGACATTCCATGCTCTCCACTGTGGAGGTCACAGCAAAACATGACCAAGATCGCACCTGGCGCCTACATTTCACATATAGCACAGCCCTGCTTTTCAATGTCACGTGACATCGTCTGGTTACTCGCTGCTTAAGGAGGATGGGTCGGCCACTAAGTGCATTGATGATGGAATAGTTGGACGTCACTCTCCCTGAGGCAAATAGAATTAGAGGCCAATTATTGTCCTTTCACAAGTGCCTGGGGTGTGGAGTTTTACATGTGCGCTTACAGAGAAGACTGTCCCTGTCCGTTGGAGTCATTGTTTAGCACCCTCCCCCCACAAATTGCTAAGTCCCCCCCGGCACAGATTTTAAAGGCTGCTTTGTTGGCAGCCCTATGCATCCATGGCTCTGCCAACGTGGAAGTGAAAACTGTGGTTTTTTTTTTATCTCTTTCTTCTTCCTTTTTGCAACAGTAAATCTACCAATTTTACAGTCAGCTGAACAGCAATAGATTGATTTGTGTAAAGTCTGCGCTCACAAAGGAAACCTGGACTTGAGTCGCTTGAATGCCCGAGTCTGCCACGTGATCCTTGACGGGTAGACACTCTTACAACTTGCTCTAGAAGGATGCAGGCAGGCCACTGTCACCTGCTTCTCGGCCCAGGTGCTGACCCCTCGGGCGACCAGGGGGCCTCCAGGCAGGGTGGCAGCAAGCCTGGGCCATTGTGTGGGACAGAGGAGCCTTTTCCAATGCAGGAGCCAGTTTTCTCCAGCAGCCTCAGGAAGCACAAGAAAGGAGAGGTGAAGGTCACCTTCTGGGTCGCAGTGGGTTAAATTTAGTTAACATCAGCGGTTACTGCGTCTAACAAGGGCTTCAAGAAAACTTATTGGAAGATGCAATTTGTTCCTTTTTTGTCCATCATTTTTTTTTCTTACTCTATTGAGAGCGACAGCTTAACCAAGTTTTTTGCTTGCTGGGGGCTTTCATCCATTAGAGAATAAAGGGCCGTGTTCCTAAAAGGAGGCGCAGGCGGGAGGCTTTAGAGAGCACCCATGATCTTCAAATTGCGAGCTTTAAAATAGGCTCCCTGCTTGGCTAAGTCAAAAATAATCTACAAGGGATGCCGAAGAACGTTCTCATCAGAAAGGAGGGGCAGTTCATCAGAGGCAGAGCCCCGTCTTCCAGAAGATTCTTTGTATTTTCCCCTTAGGCGTCTTAGGATAGAATTTCTAGCTATTGAGAAATTCCCAGGGAACTTCCCTTACATTTCCATGGGGGTATAGCTCTCTAAACCTGGAGCATAATCCTGGGCAGGAAGTTTTTGTTTTTGCATTTCTATATAA